CGCCCAGCTTCAAGATTTTTTGATGCCTGTAGTGTAGACGGGCCGTAACACTCCGTTCGATGTCTCACTATGGGATGCGCCTCAACGCGTATGCAAACAGAAGCATCAATCTCATTACGCCAATCCTGATTGGCTGGTGATCTTGACGTCAACGTCAGGGAATCCACCCACCCTTTAAGTAGCTTGCGCTACAACGCAGCGTCATTCAAACACCTCTTCTCGCTTCAGAGCACATCTCGATTGATCAGTAAACGGGCTAGCTTAACGGTAAACAGACTGAACCCAAAGCTAACATTCGGTCGACGGGCGCTTGCCGGTTACTTTTTTGCTTTGCAAGAAGACTGAGCAATATTAACACACCAGTTAATATTGTAATCTGCCTCGCCGTTCTTTCTGTCGAAATAACGGTAAGGTTTGATTTTTTCTTCAAGCTAGTAACATACCTGTTGCTAGTTTTTTCTTCCCTCCACACCGACACCACGGTAAAGAGGACGTTCTCTTTTCTCTCTCACACCAGAGGAGACAGAGATAAAAAAAAAGGTATTAACACACCAGTTAATATTCTTTAAAGAATAAAATCTACACCGTCGCCTTTTTTCCTTTCGGACTAACGGCAAGGTTGGATTTGTTTTCTTTTCTTTTTTTCTCAGTAACGTACCTGTTACTAGCGTGTCCACTCCACCCCGACACCCCGGCGATCGAAGATGGACCCTTCTCTCCCTCACACCAGAGGAGTCAGGGACTCGGAGGCTCGGCTATGCGGCTGCGGGTTCAAGATTTCAGGCACAGACTCACACCAGGTCTGCTCGTCCTGCCTCAGGCTGGAACATGCCCGGGAGGCTATCGATAACCCCGGCTCGTGCAGGCATTGTACCCGCTTCACCATTAAGAGCCTCCGCCGACGGTTAGCACGCCAAGCTAGCTTGTCGGGTCAGGACCCCCTCATGTCCGCTGATTCGCCGGCCGGCAATCAAGACATGGTGGCGTCCGCCGCAGAGATTGAGCCCCGTGCTGTGTCAGACTGGGGCTCAACAACAGCGACAGCCGCTGAACCGGAGCCCCACGCCGTTTCAGGCTGGGACCCGGTGGCGGCAAGAGCCGCGAGAGCGGAGCCCCGCGCTGTGTCAAGCTGGGGCTCCCAATTGGACCTCACCATGGTTCCACCCGCGGAGGATGTCCTGGAGTTGGACTATATGGAGGACGAAGAGGATACCTCTGAGTTCCTCCTGTCTGACTCGGATGAGGATGACATCTTCGTTTCATCGGCTCAGGCTGCAAAGCCGGGAGCGATGTCCGCTCCCCCGGGCGAGAGCACACCAGCTTCGCCCGTCCTAAGCATGGACTTGCAGGCCATGTGTCAACGCACTGCGTCCAGGCTGGACATCCCATGGCCTGAAGTGGCCAAGGAGACCTCCAGATCTCGCTACGAGGGGAAGAACTTGACCCAAGCAGCGAGGACGAAGAGGCAGCTCCTTCCAGTCTTTCCGGAGATGCTGGACGAGGTGTCGGTCTCGTGGAGAGACCGTCCCTTTAGCAACAAGGCCCCAATCCAGGGTGCCTCCTCCCTGGACTGTGATGGTATGGAGAGGCTCGGCCTGCTCCGGATGCCGCCCATGGAACCGCTGGTGGCAGCCCACCTCCAACCGAGGCTGGCTTCGACACCGAGCAGGAACCCCATGCTACCGGCAAAGGCAGACCGGTTCCAGTCAGCGTTGACCGAACGGGCCTATAAAGCCGCAGCTTTGTCCGCCAGGGCACTCAACATCTCCTCGCTGCTGACCGCCTACCAGGCGGAGCTCTGCGAAGACATGTCGAGCAAACCTGAGCCTGCCGTGTGGAATGAGATCGCAGCGATCACGGACATTTTCCTCCGTGTGCAGCGCTGTGCAGTCCAAGCCACGGGCAAAGCACTGGGAATAATGGTGGTACAGGAGAGAGCCAGGTGGCTCAACCTGACGAACCTTCCAGACCGGGAAAAAGAGGATGTTTTGGACATGCCTATTGTTCCCGAGGGCATATTTGGCTCCGCTCTAGCTTCAATGCAGTTGAGACGCGAGTCAAAAAGGAAGGGAGACGAGGCTCTCCAGCTCTGTCTCCCCCGAAGGGTCCAGCCGCCACCTCCAATGGTCCCGCGGCAGGCCTTCACTCAAGCTGTCTCACGTCCTGCCCGGTTCAAAATACCGAAGCAGCAGAGACCGCAGCCCGTCCCGGGTCCCTAGCCCAGGCACGAGGCAAGAGGGAGCTGGCAAAGAAAATCTCCGGTTCCGGCAGCTGCCGCTCAGGCGCAGCCGACCCAGGTTTTCAGCCACCAGGCGAGGAAGAAGAAGTGGGCGGCCTGACAGCCTCCTCTCCTCTCCTCGATGAAGGAGCTGGAAGTTCCCTGTTCCCCAGCTCCAGAGCACGTTCCAGTGTTGGATGCTCATGTGTTTTCGGGGTGCCACCATGCCCCCATCTTCCCGCCGCCTCGAGTGATGCCAGAACGGCATCCTCAAGTTTGCGCCATCAGGGAAATGGACTTAACATCGAAGACAGCAAGTTCCGCTGCCTGTTTAAGTCACACAAACACATGTCATCATTGTTGTTTCAAAATAAATCATTTTCCACTGTCATTTCCAGGCTTGAAGCCAAGGGCGCAGTCAATACAAATGAAAAGAAAAACAATAAAAACAATAAACAGTCTGTCGTCTGCCCCTCTTTTGAGCAACCCGGTATCACGGCAAGACGTGAACATGTGACGATTTACCATGCTGGGAAACGTGAATATGTCACGGTTTTTTTCCTTCAAAACGTGACAGTTACACGGTATTGTTAACCCAGGTTAACCAGTGGAGAAATACCCGGAAGTGCCAAGCAAAGGCTCTATTGGTCAGTTTTTATTGTCAAAATTAGATGTTTTTAATTTATTTTGTAATCCTCACACTCGATTTCGCCAATTTTCTTGTGGCTCTAGCTGGTCGGCACCTCTTTCAGCAGAAACAAAGGCTACATTCATGTATTACATCGATGTTAATCCCCTTCAAACGTGACAGTTACACGGTATTGTTAACATGGAGAAATACACGGAAGTGCCAAGCAAATGGTCTACCGCGCCTATTGGTCGGTTTTTATTGTCAAAATTAGATGTTTTTAATTTATTTTTTAATCGTCACACTCGATTTCGTCGATTTTCTTGTGGCCCGAGCTGGTCGACACCTCTTTTAGCAGAAACAAAGGCTACGATGTTAATCAATTTGTGTTGTTGTGGAAATACCGGACGTGACGTTGTGTGATCGCTTAGCAACTGAACTCCGTGAAAAATAAACACCACTAAGGTTCAAGGGTCAAGGTTTTTTGTTATCAGATGCTAGCTACAGTGTAATTTTGGCATTTCAAATCTTAGATCCGGAGCTCCTCCAACAGTGCAACATAATATAAATAGGACATTATAAGAAAATAAATAAAAATAGTGCAAAATGCACCACTTTTGGTTCAAATTATGAAACCAGTAGATTCATTCATTTATTTATTTGTGTTGCCCCAGCTAAATCGATGTTAATCCATTTATGTGGTTGTGGAATTACTGTACATTACGTTGTGCGGTCGCGTAGTAAGTGAACACCATGCTACCGATTACTATCCGATGACCATGAACGCACCGGACATCGGCTACAACCTCCTCTCTGTCTAACTTCGCAGGTAATGTGCTGCACCGCATGCCTCCAATATTTTAATGTTTATTGCAAGTAAATCAGTTGTAGTTACATATCTTTTTAAAGCACGAGCTAGCTAAACACATATTAGCTTTACTTGACCGGAGATATCGTGCAGTGATGAGTCCTACAACCCGGAAGTGAGTTAGCATTTTACAACTATTGGTTCCCTCGTCTCAGAGTCAATGGGATTTCTCCATAGGATTTTGGAAAATAGCTCGAAATAAGATCTGTGGAAAACGAACCTGCTTGATAAATGCACGTTTTGTTCAGCCGGATAATCTCCACATATCTACCCTACTTTTATAATTTTCAAATCATAAATCTAATGGCCAGAAGCAAAACGCTAACGTTATGCTATAAAGGAACTACAGACCATGGATGTATAATAAGAACCTTTAGAACAATTACCTTTAGAAGTACACCAAAACATAACTGCTAACAATGTAAATGCTGTGTTGGAAAAAAAGTGAATGTAAGAAAATGTTGAGTTAAATACTTTTGGCACTGTATACAAAGCTTGGAAAAATGCCTATTGTGGCTGTCATACTTGCATACAGTGGCAACTAATAGTATTGTGAAGAAATGTCATGACAACCATCTACAGACTGTTACTGCACGCTGATTGTTGTGGTCCTATTTAGGACAAAACGTTCAGAGCTGTCCTTGTTCCAGTCCGCCCCTGATTGATTAGTGCTTTAACTCGTAAATTACCCCCAATGTTAAAGCTTGTTGATGATATGTGAGATTGTAAATTGTCATACATTCTAAAGTGTTCACTGTATTTTTTTCCTTCAACAGATACCAAACCAAAGAAAGATCAAACAGCACCTTTAAGAGCCTTTTTCAATTTCTTCTCTTCTCCCTCCTCAGAGCTATATTCCCTACATTTCTTCCTGTTTTCTCCCCATTTTTACCATCTTCATCTCTGTCTCTTTACCACTTTCTCTTTTGTATTTATATGCACGCAAACACACACACACCTGTGTGTGTTTTGATTTCTAGTTCCTGAAATGGAAGACGCCATTTTCCTTGCCGATTTACTTTGTAAACAACTGAAGGTACATTTTTTTATTTCAATTGTATTGGTTTTGTGCCCGATGTACTGATTAGGTTGACTGATTATGTGCTTGTAATTTTGTAATGCTTGTAAGTGAATAGGAATACACTGGGAATGAAAAGCAGCTTGTTGTGGTAATGCATGACTACTTTATTGAAGGAGGAAGAAGACAGGGCCAGAGCAGCATCTAGCAGGAGCAGAATCCGCTGGGTAGGCAAAGATGCTCAGGGGTGTCCTCTAAAAAGGAGGAGCAGAAGTGGGGCAACCTGCCGACGTACTAAAGGTTTGTGCATGTATACAGGTATTCATGATTAACATATCATTTTTGTTTTGATTGTTCGCAACATGATTGGTACAGCATGTTTCAGCTTAGAGAGGTATTGAACAAATATCTGTTATTCCGTCGTACGTATAAAAATAGGCTATTGTAATAAATAGTTAGAGTTGGTTAGAACTGTTAGAACTATTTTAATGCATAACATTTGCCTGCGATTGCCTCCTGTTCTCTGTAATTATTATCTGTTATCAATATATCTATTATTATTTATTTATTTTTTCAGCCAGAACTGTTGCCATTAACAGTCCAGTGACTGTGGAACCAGCTGGAGCAACCTCTGCAGTACCCCCTCAGCTTTTTGGTAGGATGAAATTTACTATCATTGAAAGTTAGGAAATGTGTCAACATAACATCAAACGAATACGTGATGCAATATGAGTACGCTGTTGTGATGCTGAACATTTTCTTTTTTGTTTGTTTCCAGAAGATGAGATTCAGCAATTGCAGGAGCTTTTGGTTGATCAACCATCAACCTCTTCCTCATGGTGCCTGCGCCAAAGTGCTGCCCAATTGGAGTGGCAAAAGGCAAGGTCCCATCACTTGGACAGCTGTCTTCAACTATGGTACCGGAAAGGAGATGCTCACATTGCTCCGCTCCTGCGGTCCTTCGCTGCAGAGAATGCATGCCCCTTGAATGGTTGTGTCATGACTGTGACATTTCTAAACACAGCATACACACCCTTCATAACAGGGAGTCCTTCAATGAAGGATATTTCAAATGTATTCCCCCAACAATGTCACTAGTCAAGACAAATGACATGTTCACTTTGAGACACCAAGGTATTTCACTTAACACAATTTAGCCCCAAGTGGTTATTTTATAACTTTCCTAATGTGCTGGTAGTTTAAGACATATTTTTAACCTCTCTTCACAGATCGTCTTCTGCCCACTGGTAGGCCTTCACACTCGTGTGACCCTGAAGGTGTTACAGAGTCTATAGGCAGGCCTGTCATTTTCATCTGCATTAATGGTATGATTTTAAGTGTTCTTTTTGTCACCCTAATACAGGTAATGAATGCGATTGTTTTTACTAAACTGTGTTTGTTATTAGGGCGTTATGATTTGCATCTCCCCAAGAGGGTGTGCAACATATGCCATTATGAATGGACACCTGATTGAGGAGACCTCATTAGAAGCGGTTACTGGCCAGCTTCTGTGAACGGAGACACGTTATATTCCACGGATGTCTTCAAATCTTTTGAGGACCTGAAGACTGTGGCACCAGGTTTGTCCAGACAGGCTTTTTTACAGATGCTGGAACGGAGGACACAGCATTATGGGAGGGTAAGATGACTTTCACTAAGTATTGCATAAGTAGAGGGCATTGTGAAAGGATGCATTTTATTTTGTGTAGATGAAATATGTTGATTGGAAATATGTTTATGTCAAAATAACTAAATTGAAAAGCTTACAATGTTACTGAAAGTAGTTTAACTAGTGTTACATTAGAGCTAAAAACCTAGCACTGGTAGATGTAGGACATACTGTATAAGATCAAACATATCATAATCCAACTTTTGTTCTTTACTGAAGAACACAATTTGTATGATGAAAAACATTGTGCTCTTCTGTGGGAAAAAATGGGATTCTGTATTGTACTGTACTGTATAGAGTCATGGTGCATATGACAAAAGCTGAAATAATGTTCCTTCTCTTCCAGCATCTGCCAATCCTAACCTGACCTTCACTTTTCAGGATATCGTGTGTTAGGGATACTCCTAATAGCCCCCCTCTTGCCTCCAACCACTGTGAAAGTCTTCCTGTTTCCTCGTATTATTCTGACATGTGTAAGGTAACAATTTTGCTTCTCAAACTTCCAGACAGGAAAAATCCATGGAGATGTCTTCCAAAGAAGCTTTCTGGAGTATATGGCCTGCCAGTACGAGTGCCAGAAAATGACGTGTGAGGAACTCTTCTCATGCCCAGCTTGTACTCCCAAAATGTTGGCTGTGTCAGTGGATGGGAATAGGAAACAGTACCGTTTCCGACAGTCACAGAGGTACATCTTTTTTGTATGTCAATTGAATTTAAGAAGTAGCCTATCAATGATGATAATAATGAATTGAATATTTATTTTTGAATTTAGGATCGATGAACCACTTTTTAAAGGGCCGTTCATCATGGAAGACTCGGCTGTCACAGACTTTGTTGACAAAGTCAGAACAAATGTAAAATGTGTAAGCACAACATTTTTTTTCCTATCATTTTTATAGCCTTTACTTGTTTTGAGAGTGTAACATTAAAATGTCTTTAATTGTAGACCCCAGGAAAAGGTACATGTGGTACCAGCCAGTGGTCAGCTGCTCGAGAGACAGCAAAAAGAGCCAGCAGGCTTGATGAAGAGGGGTTAGAGGTGGCTGTATGTAGACATGGAGTGCTACTGAAAGCTCTCAACATGTTCAGAGGAGAAATATTTGCCTACCCCTTGTTCCTTCAAACGCAGTTTCAAGCTACAAACGTGCATTTTTATTGCACAGATATTGCTTGTAAATACTGGCCCTACCTCGAGAAAGTGGCAAAGACAATGCCAGAACTGCGACATTTGCTGAGCATGCAACCGTTTCTCTCGGTCATGCATGCCAAGGCCCATTCCACAAAGTGTGAGGTAGGCCCACTCTTATATTATTGTGATTGTAAGAATTTTTTTTAATTCATCTATGACATATAATATATGTGTACTTGTTAGATTGTGTGGAGTGGGAGAAATTTGGAGGGTGCTGGTTCGACGGCCGGGGAAGAAGTGGAGATGGTGAACAGCTTTCTGTCACGTTGTGCCATCACAACTAAGTACATGACAAAATCAGGTATGTCCTCTTGTCATTAGACCAACATAATTCTGTCTTGAAGTTATTATCCATCTCTTACTTTACTTTATCTTTGTCTTTGATGTAGTCTGTTTCAACAGTACTAGAGTTTTTATGAGTTGATTTCCAAATACCCAAGTTATATTATCTGCTTCTCAATTTTACTTTTAAAAACAGCTCGCAATGACATGTTGACTGTCCATGCAATGGGATGGAACAGACGGAAGCAGGAAAACCTTCATGTGGTGTTGGCCAAGAGATATGTCAAGGTAATTGGCCATGTAAGCATAGGCATGACAAGATTAGATTTGTAAGGCTAATGTGCAAACCTGTCACAAACAAATAATTGTCCAAGCTGGTAAAGTGTTGGATACTGAGTGCTTGCGCAGGTCTGGAAAAGTTTGAATGATTAATTACTGTTTTCAAGACATGAAAAGTTATGGAAATTTGGGTGAAAATCTTGAAAATACATCTGTATCTGCAACATCTTTTTTACAACAGACAATCACAATGTTGGAGGGTGAGACTCAAAAAATGAAGGACACCTGCGAAGAGCTTTGATGCCCTGAGGACAAAGTCCAACAATGGGTTAATGATGTTAGAGACTGGGCAACAAACGGTATGCTGTTTCCTAACTTGATAATATAACATTGTTATTTAACGTATAGTATTAACACCAATGTTTTCTTTGTTCTCAAACTGTGTTTCTTGTTATTTACCCAAGACAACACATCAGGCGACAATCAGTCTCCAGATGTCCATTGAGCAGCTATTTCTAGGGCTGTGCCAAAAGAAAGCTTGCCTCTATAGACAGACTGGTAAGTTATTATTATTCAGTTGCAGTCATGTAATTAAAAAATTCCATTGAACATTGTTTCTGTAATCTTTTTTACTATTACGTCATATAGACAGCAATAAGATTCGGCAGTTGCGTCGCAAAAGGTTAAGGGAGGAAAAAACCAAACTCTTAGCGGCAATACGCCAGTACAACACCGGACAGCCTCCTGAAACAGAAATCCAGGAAGAAGAGGTGGAGAGAAGACTGTCTGCAGAACAGCAAACAACAGACAGTCTAATATGGCCATGGGAAGTGCAAAGTGATGGTAAGAGCTTCTCTTGTTTGTGTTTATATAATATGTTTATTTTCTGGCACTAAGCAAGACCTATAACACCAGCTTCCCAGTCAATGGACTATGACCGGTCACTTATCCTACTGTTGCATGTCTTGGTCGGTAATGGTATGCTTGCTGTTCCTCTCTCTTCAGAATCGGTGTCCATTTTGGCCCAAAAAAAAGTCTTCGATGCCTACATGGGCAAAAGGAGACTTGTGGAGGAGAGGGCCATAATTGTGAGGGAGATGAGGCAGCACTGCCTTTATCTGAGAAGTCAGGCTGACAAGATCAGGATGCAGATGCAACATGTGTCATGTGGAGGACATAGTGGTAAATTCCATGATACCACACCCAAATACTACTTAACATCCACAGTGTGTACTAGTAACAAAAATGAGATGCCTTTTCACTATTCTATTCTCTATGTTCTTCCCTAGACATGACTCAAGAAGGGAGAGATGGATTAGCTAGTCTTCTAAAGAAAAGACTTGCTGACGTGGACACACACATCCAGCATCTTTCTTCGGCCTACAGCCTGGCAATCGGACCAAATGCCCCTCAATGGCCTGATGACTCTGTGGAGAACCATGACCAAGACAGTGACATCAGTGATGACAGTGAGGAAGACCCTGATGAGGACATCACACACACCCTACCCCCACCTTGAGGAAAGGACGCTGGGGCACAGCGCCTCTCTCCCCCACCCTACCCCCTCCTTGAGGAAAGGACGCTGGGGTACAGCGCCTCTCTCCCCCACCCTACCCTGAAGGACACTAGGGTGTACAGCAGGGGTGGCCAACCAGTTAGAGGTTGAGAGCCAATAATTTCCCTGCGTTACTGCAAAGAGCCACATCATACACATAGGCACACATGCTGGGTGTATGTCCCCCCCACCTCTCTCTCTCCTTTCTGTGTGCTCCCTCAGTCTCTTCCTCTGTGTGCCACTCTCTCTCACACATAGAACATGAACATCTAAACATTTACAATAATTGACCCACACACTCGGACGCACCCTCCCTCACACAGACACACATACCTCTGCTCAGTCAGAATTCTTGTTAATGTCACACACCATGATATTGACTGAAATGTACTTAACTTCTCCTACCAGTATTAAGACCAGAGGCCAGTTATCGTCAACCAATAACATTGTGTGCACTCTCACACACAACCTCTCACTTCAAATAATGTGAAAAAAAGTTGTTATCTTACTATGCATGTTGCTTCTTTGAACTAAGTGAACATTCTGGAATGAATTGCCTTGAACAATCCTTAAAAATGTGGCTTGTGAGGAATATGTAAATGTTTGTATTTAAAACAAACCCATAAGGTTGGTTCAAACATTGCTATGTATTGTATTTTAGTTAATTCTCCTCACATGATAACTATCTCAACCTTTACCTAACCCTCTGACTGACAGAAGCTCTGCTGACAGAGATGCACTTTCTCTATTTTTTATTTCTTTACCACAATTCACCTATTCGGGAGTCCTTCTGTGTCAGCAACCAGCTTTCCGTGAGAAGGCCCTCTCTCACACTCACACCTACCTACAACTACAAAGTGTTGCCGTTTAGGGTTGAAAACATTATATTGAGTTATTACGGTTTTATCTGAGTTATTATCTTCAGAAGCAGAACTCTCCCTTCACTGTCACATTGCGAGTGCAGTAAAGCCTGCCTCCGGTGCTGCAGGATCTGCATTCTGATTGGCCTGGAACTTGTGTGTTGTTTACCCTTTGTGAACTGGGATACATATGCGCAAAAAAACACACAACATTAAAATTCTATATGAATTGAAGTTCACAAACCATGGTTTACGTGTCAACTCACTCATTTCTTTGTTGATGTTCACATATCTGTTATCTGATTAAATAAATACTATTTTATCCCACTTCCGTCCAACTGGACAGATGTTATCCAATACCCATAGTCCGACAGGTATTCGACTGGCTTTCTTAAAGTAAAACAGGTACACAAGTTCACAAAATACATTTATTGTCATGTTTCCCACACTAGGAATGTACCATTACAACAGCATTCGTCTACATATAAGAGGCAATGTAAGCTGTGTCCAAGTTCTGACACCCATGTGCAACATCTCAACTGGCTCATATCTTGTCTTATTAATGTTTCTCATAACTAATTGTATTAAAATTAACTCATTTTCCATCAACCAGCTTGTCACAGGAGTCTCAATGTTCGTCACACCCTCTGAATGTACCATTACAACAGCATTCAGCTACATATAAGAAAACATACAAGTGTGTCCAAGTTCCGACACCCTGTGCCACACCTCAACTGGCTCATATCAGAATCAGAAATCCTTTATTAGTCCCACAGCGGGGACATTTCCGCTTGTTACAGCTAAAGTGGCATAGCATCTAAACAAAAACGGATGCATACCACAGAATAAGCTAACATATTAATTATATTATATATAATTATATTTAAAAACATTTTAGGTCTCACGAAATACTTTAATGTAAATTAAAATGTGAAGGAATGTGTTGGGGTATTGTTCCGCACGGACATTTTAGTTAACCGGACTTCCTGTTGATGTGAAATCCGAAAACGTTTAAAAAAAATAAAATAATACTTTATTCCGAGTGTGCTTGCTTTTCTCTTTGGAGGTCATCACATAACGGCATTGTAATACACGGTTCGGCTGCATTAAATATTACATATCTGCCGTAGTTCTCTATTTATAGAGCCCTGATGAGAAGACTTCTAGACAAACAGGAATAACTGCTGCCGAAACTGAATATGTGACGTGGATCATAAATATATCAGCAATTAAACAACATCTTCAATTTCTCTTCACAATATAAGTCTCCTTGCAGTATTAACACTAATTCGGCTGACTTTTATATTTGATCCAATTGGTAGATAGGCTGTATTTACACCATAACGGTGCACAGCTGATAGAAAGGGACACCTAGTGGTTAAATCACGTTATTGAATGTTATTATTTGTATTATTAGATATTAATAGGAGACACAGACAGACACACTAATAAAGCTTTATTTAAACATTAAAGAACACTTTAGGTTAAGGTCTTCTTTTGAATAAGAAAAAAGCTTTGGGGGTAGGCTATACAGATACATATTAAGCCTGACTAAGTAGCCTACTAATATATTGCTTTCCTGCAATGTTAACTACTGTATGTGTAAGCACTTATTTTAACTGATATTATGTATTATACTCTTATAAGATGTATGTAGATAGTATACAAAATGTGCAGAATACGACAGTTTAATGGTGGAGGTACACACATATTGATAGATGTCTTGTAATGCACTGTTGAGGAACCTGCGATCAAAGTTTTTCATCTCCGACCTTGTCGGGTATTGAACATTCAATAAATAAAGAACACAGAATTATTCAATATAAAACACAGAATTTGTGTGATTATACTAAATGATTTACAAATAAACACCACTGCATATTTACAACTGTTACACATGCTGATGTAACGCAAATGTTTCCAACTTGGGATCAATAAAGTATATCTTATCTTAAGATGATCGATGGCTACTGCCATATTTGCAAAATGTGTCTCTGAACCTTGACAAGTGCATGTTTCAGGCTTATAAATTAACAACAGGAGGGGTCACAGACATAAGACCAGCTGTTAAATAAAGCTCTTCTGACCTTAGCTGTCATGTGGGTATATATTAATGCTGCCCATTATGGACACAAGCCATTTTCACCCATTTATTAATTATATGTTTTACATTTGAGTGTTCCTATCCCCTAAACCTCCAGGGATGTACACAGTTGTAATACTGGCAACTTCCTATTATGTTCTTAAAACGTCTTTTAAAACTACAATTCCCAGTAGAGACGTGCCATAGAACATGTTGCGAAACACACAATAGCCAGCATGTGTAGTTCTGGGGATGAGGTGGGCGAGGGGGGGACGGGGTGGACTCATCCGAATCCAGTTTTGAATAGTCACAGGGTTTGTCAAACATAGCGGAGAGAATACTTCTGTGTGTATGTGTTTGCCAGGTGTGATTCACATGGGGGGATGGGCACATAAGGGGGGGAAACACATACAGTGTATGTGTGTGTGTGTTGTATCTGATCCGGATGGTTACTAATTCCATTTCTTTATAGCGGTCATTGGTGTTAAAAAGTTGACTAAATCATCAAAAATGCAATGAAAGTGCTGATCAGCAATTGTATATGTTCAAATGTCTACTGTGAAAGAGATCATAAACCTTAATGCAATCGAATGTAAAACAAAAAAGTTTTGATTGATGAAAGTAGTACATCGGTCAGATTTGACCCGAACACAACAGGAGGATCAATGACCACATTTTGTGTTTGCTTTGTTGGAGTTTTGTCAGCTAGGAAGTCGAACTGTTTTGTTGTTATATGTAAGTGTGTATTTCAGATCTACATTTTTGCCCTTTTGGTACAAAGAGCATGTGTTGCAGTCATGTTGCCATTAAGAACAAACTAGAACAGAAAGTCTCATGTTGTCAGATTGGTTTATCAAGGACTAGGGAATATCGTTTTACCTCCTTAATCTCAGTAAGATGCACACTTATGGGATACAACTAGGTGAAAAAATGACAGCCTACTCCTAGATCTAGTGCCACTAAAGTCCCGTTCAATCTGTAGACCATTCGGGTCAATATAAATACAATTAATGCAAGGCTCCTTTACCCTTGACTCGGCTCTCCTGTGTCTGCACACCCTGTTCATTCTGGTGCTGTTACCAAACTACATGTAACTTTCCTGACAGCAGCCGAGATGTTGCAGCCCCAGCAGACCAGACCATAAAAGATTGCTTATGCCATCAGAGTCATGGAAGGTCTGAAGTAGTGCCCCCTGCACTCCAAAATACCTGTCTCCTCAGCAGATACAGTCTGCTCTGTCTCTTCTTGTAGATAGCAGCAGTGATCCGACCAGTCCAGTTTATTGTTCAGATTAACACAAAGGTACTTGTTAGATTTCACAATCTCAATCCCTAAATATTTATAATATTATTTCATGGATTATATCTATTTGAAATGTGGTGTAGTAGTGTCTCATGACACAATATTGAAGCATTTGACTCCATGTTGCAAAAAGGGAAATGTTTTAATAAAACAAATAAACAAATCGGTATTTTTACACACACACACACACACACACACACACACACACACACACACACACACACACACACACACACACACACACAATCGTATGCATAGAGAAGCTGTTTGATCCTGTTTTCCCTTGATCTTTACCCTTGTTGAGGGCTGGCAAAGTTTGGGGGACGATCGGACCGTGTCCATTGGACTTACAGCGACATCGTGTTTCATGGCGAGTGGTCTGTCGCCATGGCAACGGCATTTGATGACACCCCATAATACGCTTAGATGCGTTGGTGGCTGCATCGTTACCAAACCTGTGAAGTTTTGGGCTGTTTTTTCACTGAAGTTATGAGAAAACCGTGTTTCAATGTTACATTTTGTAAAAGGGACCCAACATTTTCTCCCAAATCTGTCTTTAGTTGGTTGATACTAACACTAAGGGAAACCACCACAGCAAAAGCCATATAACCCTTGTGTGGTGTTCGGGTCAAATTTACCCGATTTCCATTTTCAATGAATAAAAAAAAATATAATGATATTTTCGTTCAACCTGAAACTCAATGGCCGGGGCTTATTTATTGTGAAGGACATGTGGAATTGTTTTGATTTGTTTTCACTTATGAAAAAATGCCCACCCGCATTTATGTCCTTCATAAGAGGTTCGGGTCAATCTGACCCGGATACAATACCAGGACAGAGAGACAGAGAAAAACACACAGAAACACACGAACTAAAGACACACACACACACACACACAGAAACACACAAACTAAAGACACACACACACACACACACACACACACACAGAAACACACAAACTAAAGACACACACACACACACACACACACACACACACACACACACACACACACACACACACTGAATTGACTGGCAGGCTCCCAGGTGTCTTCCCATTTTCTCCCACTGAAAAACACAATGAATAAAAACAACCATAAGATCTTTGCATGTGCCACAAGATAATTTCATATGCATGGGTTATCATAAAACAACAAATTACTTCGGGTCAGTTTTGTAGAAGCCTGATAGTAAACTAGTTATGAAGTAATACATTTATTTATAACACACAGTCTAAAAAAAGCTAACCAAAGAGCTGTGTTCTCAAGGCAGCCAGCAGACCATTACCTCTTCTCTTCCCTACACACAGGCACACACAAACAGACAGACAGGCAAAAACAAGTGTTAGCCAGCGACCACGGGTAAATGCATTGCTGCTTCATGCTCTGTCAGTTTCAACATCTTACCTTCTCTACCCTTCTGTCTTTAATTCCGTTGTAGTTGAATATCTGCTGCTTTTAGCATTTTCTGCAGCCTGAAATAGTGCAAATAAGAAGTTATTAACAAATGAAGAAAAGGTTTGGACATCCTCCAGATGAATATTTGATAAATGACTTTCATATAGGAAGAGAACATTAGCTAATCTGCAATGTGGCCTATTTGTGTCCAACTTCCTTTTTGTTTTATTTCATGAAACATAATTTCTAACCACCTTATAAATAAAGACAAGTCATTGAGCAAACCTTTATGGTTTTTTATGGTTATTAAAAAGAGAGGGATTATGGAAACCTGGATCTGATATCTTGTCTGAAATGTGCGTAACTTGTGGTGTGCAAAATGGGAGAATACAGCTATTTATTTGTTCAGTAGGATGTACCACAAAAACAAAACATACCCTTATTCCTCTTCTTCATCCCTTCACCTGTGGTACTGCTACACCCATTTGCTACAGAGGTAGCAAGTCTTGGAGAGGAGGAGCGCTCTGTGGGCAAACCTGTGACAGATGTAAGAAAGTTAAATGTAAGTGACGGTAGAGACTGGGGCATAGATAGCATCACAACCTCTGTGGGCTATAGATGATTTTTGCCCTAAATGTTCCTGATCTACTGACTTCAAATATGGAGTATGTCAAAATGTATTATGTAACTTAAATAACTTTCATAATATTTTTTGTTAGCGTCCAGCTGTGACTTGACAAATCACACCCTATTTATGGAAAGACGGTTTCCCTAAGATATCTGTGAATTGTGTTGTATTTCTGTTGTATATGTGAAATGACCTTGGGTTCCTTGAAAGGTGCATTTAAATGACAAGTGTTATTATTATAAACCATGATGCCAGAGGGCAAATAACACTCAACACTCATTATTTAAAATGTAATGAATCACACAAACAAAACACTAACCCTTCTTCCTCTTCCCTGGCTGGGATGCAGCCGATGGTGAAGGGAGTGAATAGGTGCTTGCAGCTGGGACAGGGATGAGTGTCAGGGTGTACATCTCCTCGGATAGGTTTCCTACATAGAAGTAGAAAGAGTAGAATGGATGTACGCCACCTTCTTCAATGTACAGAACCTCCTATTTTACTGGAATTCGCGATGAACTATGCTGTGCTACTTACCAGAGGGGGTGTCTGCGGTGGCAATGACAACTTCTGAAAAAGAAAAGGTTACAATTTTTAAAACATACAAGTTGCTGTTAAAAGTGACAATGACTTTGAAGCTTACAAAAATAACACAAGTTTATATTGCATCAAGTACAACCACTCAATGCGCCATGCAAACATCATTTTATCACAGAAAAAGGACACATTGGTCTCTAACCCCACTAATAGGAATGTCCTCATAAGTGCTAATAAAAGTAATGACATTAAGTTCTTAGGCGTTATTTGTCTCATTAGGCAGTTCAACAAATGTCATTTTGAATGGTCAGCTCCTGGCTGTTTATAAAATCCTCATATAACGAATATAGTCAGAAAACAATAACAAAGAGTGGTACAATAGACTTCTGCAATTACTTGATGTGGCTGGCCAGTTTTCCGCAGGAGGCTGTGAGGTTTCGGAGGCTGCTGCAGGCTCTGTATGACTCCAACCTAGATTAAAGAAAATAAGCTTTGGATAGCATCAACAACATCATGTAATTCACTAGTTCTTCCATTTGTATGCTTGATTTAAGGAAGAGCTGTAAGTTAATTGCTGTCAATTACCCCTATGGGCTTCTCCTAAACTTTATTAAGAAAACGACATCTAAGTGTCTAATTTCATTTCCAATGACATTATTGGTTAATTCTACAAAAATGTAAGTTACAGTACTACCTACTTAATTTCTTTATTCACTTTAACAGACAACAATACCTTTCGCAACAAATTCAAATAACACCTCCATCCTTCGGAGGCATGTGGAGGCATTGCTGCTGACATTGCACCTTGGCATCATTACTTCGCAGGTCCATTCCTTCTTTATTCCAGGCCGGGCTAGGAACAAGACGCCTTTGGCTCCAAGGGCCTGACATATTTCCAGCTTCCAACTAACCAAAATATACATTATTTCAGAACAATTATGCCCTGGTTATTTACAAAGGCAAAACCAGTTGTTAAACATAAATCACATATACTGCTTGCACAAATATTCAACCCCTATGCAATAACAAAGACATTTTGTTTGTGCATGCATTAACAGTCTTAAGATTGTTGCAATCAGCAAGTAGAATCTTTGAACATTATTCTGCATTGCATTTCTCATTTCTCTTGGCGGAATTTACACTGTATATATCATCTAGGTTTGTGGAGCAGCACTGTGGTTTATGAACAGTGCCATAGATTCTAAGTGGGATTAAGTTTAGAGCCATTCTACAACATAAACGTCGCAATTTTTTATCACCTGCAGTATTTTTTTTAGTCTTGTGCTTGGGGTAATTGTACTACTAGAAGGTGAGTATTCACTTGGATGCCTTACAAGTATACTAGATGTTCTGCATTTGCGCACAGGCTCAATCACAATGTTGAGATAATATCTCTATCTCTAAAGTACACTGTGGAGTATTTATAGGGGTTCTATAAGATATAATTGATTATGGAATTCATAATTAAGTTTCCATTAATGTGTATAATCACCTATAACTATTTTTTGTTGTGATTAGCTTAGAATAAGCCCTTCATATATACATAGCGAGCCGGTCTATTTCACTCTCTTCTCTTTGCCGTGTTACTACAGTACTTCAATCGGAAGAAAAAAAACACTGGCTCTAGAGAAGGCCTTTCATGTTGTTATGGCAATGGATGGCCACTGTAGGTTTTTGTACACGCTTATAAAGGGAGAGGTACTCAGTTGGTTGCAATTTAGAAACCTCACTATTACACAGTGTACCTTTCAATTACATTGAATCAAATTCAGCGATGATTCGCCAAAATTAAATAAACATAACTTATCCCTGTGTCTACAGTAGTTGTATTGACAGGGAGCAGACACACTGATGAAAATGTCTATTTCGAATGTAAGTTGAATTGGATAAATGATTAAATAGTGCAAATGTATTTAGCTGTGTTCTGACACAGTGCTTTAAAACTTGAATGCACATATAGTCACATTTTTTTTGGGGCACACAGTTCATGCAGGTCATGACATTTGCATAATGTGCACCAGCTCAAAGCCCATTTCTACCTAGGGATTTGAGCAGCAGATTTGTATTACGTAATTATGATCAGATATGGTCAGATATTACATTTCTGTATCAAATGTAAATATTTTTTCCAAATCCAGAATGAACAAGTACAGGGCTGTTATTAATTATGCATGCAGGCCAACAAAAAAAAAAGTCCATCACATACCACCAATGCAGCTTGATCCCTCAGGTGGAATGAAGTTTTATTCTTTTTTTGTGCCTGGACCCAGGTGTTTGCTTTCGTATCAAACTTGTCCATTCGTTTGCTAAGGCGAGGTTTGCGGGGCTGCACCGCCTTGCAGAATTTGCAAGTTGTGCATGCCACATTGAGTGACATGCAGCAGCTTGAGCATTGCCTCGAAGTGGAACCTGGTCCTGGAATTCTTTTGGAGATAAAGACAAATAAAAGACAAGGTCATTTAAAACTGGGTTTCAAATTCAGAATGCAATCAAATACAAATATTGACTAATTTTCCTTTGTCTAGTCCGTGACTGTAAGTTCCTCCCCAAGCTACAACAAAAACTATATCCTGTTTAGAATAGAATAAAAACACTTTTATTTAATTTGAGTAAATTAATTTAGTATCAATGCAATAATGGCCCCTTACTTAGTTTTAGTACAATTTCGAAGCAAAGCTAAAATTCAGCGGTAAAATATTATGTAATCGAAACATAAGGTTACACAACTTCTACTATCTTACAAGCTTGACCATGACATTGCACTGTAAAAGCATTATCTTGAATTTGACGAAAATATATGATAATGTTAATCTGTTGAAATCCTATATATAAAATTGTTTTTATAATATAATCTAGAATTATAGCAGTACTACAGTATAATACACTGCAACGTCGTCTACTGTGTTACCAGCTCGAATAAGACCATTTTATATTTCCCTGTAAGTTTTGCATAACAAAGACATAAATATATATATAGTATTGTCATACTGATATTTTGTACAAACTGTAAAGTCCACTGAGACAAATGTAACATTTGTGATATTGGGCTATATAAATAAACATTGATTGATTGATTGATTGATTGATTGATTGATAAATATATGACACTGTTAGTCGATTGTAATGCTATATATAAATCGTGAAAAGTTTAAGTTCTTACCTGTGGGCACAATACCTGTGTGTGTGTGTGTGTGTGTGTGTGTGTGTGTGTGTGTGTGTGTGTGTGTGTGTGTGTGTGTGTGTGTGTGTGTGTGTGTGTGTGTGTGTGTGTGTGTGTGGTGTGTGTGTGTGTGTGTGTGTGTGTGTGTGTGTGTGTGTGTGTGTGTGTGTGTGTGTGTGTAAATACTAAAGAGAAAGTGGTAAAGAGACAGAGATGAAGATGGTAAAAATGGGGAGAAAACAGGAAGAAATGTAGGGAATATAGCTCTGAGGAGGGAGAAGAGAAGAAATTGAAAAAGGCTCTTAAAGGTGCTGTTTGATCTTTCTTTGGTTTGGTATCTGTTGAAGGAAAAAAATACAGTGAACACTTTAGAATGTATGACAATTTACAATCTCACATATCATCAACAAGCTTTAACATTGGGGGTAATTTACGAGTTAAAGCACTAATCAATCAGGGGCGGACTGGAACAAGGACAGCTCTGAACGTTTTGTCCTAAATAGGACCACAACAATCAGCGTGCAGTAACAGTCTGTAGATGGTTGTCATGACATTTCTTCACAATACTATTAGTTGCCACTGTATGCAAGTATGACAGCCACAATAGGCATTTTTCCAAGCTTTGTATACAGTGCCAAAAGTATTTAACTCAACATTTTCTTACATTCACTTTTTTTCCAACACAGCATTTACATTGTTAGCAGTTATGTTTTGGTGTACTTCTAAAGGTAATTGTTCTAAAGGTTCTTATTATACATCCATGGCAGGCCCGGACTGGCCATCAGGAGGACCGGGAGGTTTCCCGATGGCCTGGCCTGTTAAGTGGCCTGCTGGCCTGAGGATTCTTTTTGTAATGTAGCCTATGTATAGTGAACGCAACGCTGCGCAAATGGGGGTCTTGCCTCACAGAGGGTGACTGGCTGTCTACATGATGTGGCCCGCCGACATGGCCACTTTCATACAGATCATACACTAAAGCCCTCGATTGGTCTATGTGTGTCATTCAAGCTCGGGAGCGAGCGAGAGAGCGCGCGCACCGGTTACTGTATTGTTGCTGTTAGCATCTGGTGCTAGCTAGCTGCGCTAACCGATATAAGGAGCTGTTTCAACAACAAGGTGGAGGAGAGTCCTCTCCAGTCAGACTGAGAGACTGATAACTACAGCTCAGGTGAGGTAAAGGACTCTCTTGAGTGTTTAGATAGTTAACTTTGTCTAAGTTATCACTGTGGGTCTCAAACGGTTTGGTCTCCATTTATGTAAACACATATTTCCATTTGAGGGGGGAGCGAGATTAGTTAAATAATATGCATGAATAATAAAAATAAAAAAACGTTAACTAGGTGAAAAAAGGTAAGATAAACTTTTAAAACTTGTTGAGAGCTAAAACTAGTCTTTGCTGCTGCCTCAAAGAGGAGCAGGGGGAGAGGGGGGAGACAGGAGAGGCTGATTCAGGAGCACAGACACACACAACTATAAATGACCAAAAACAAATAAATAAACAAGTTCAAATGTTTTTAAATATTGGATATGGTATGTTATTGGTTATGGCCATATTCTTATGATTATTTAAATGTATACAGTTCTGTTTCATATGGGTGTTTCCATAGATCTAGTCTCTTTATTTCCCCCTCAAAATGCACCAGATTGATGCATTTAACTCCAACATTTAACACAAAAATCTTACCGGGGGAGCATGCCCCCGGACCCCCCTAGCGAATTTGAGGTTCACCCCCACTTAAAATATGTGCACATGGATAGGTTCCTAAATAGATTTGCACTTTTTTTTTAAAATAGTGACCCATGTCCATATGTTTATTTTTGGGTAGTAGATTTAAACTATAGGGCTATCACTATGGGCAGCAACGCTGTAAATATTGACAAATAAATCCAGCAAAATGGCACAAAAACAATGGTAGTGGCCTGGCTGGGTGTATAACTCCCGGCCTGATTTATTGTCCCAGTCCGGCCCTGCTCCATACTGATATACACCTGAACATCAGCAGGAGAGGACTCTTTAAAGTAGAGATACTACATACTGATATACACCTGAACATCAGCAGGAGAGGACTCTTTAAAGTAGAGACACTACATACTGATATGAACCTTAAAATGGCCATGCTCATTTTACACCAAATTTTTAATATAAAGGAAGGAAGTAACCACCTTTGGCTTCTAACAGGATGGCATCTGGGTCAGGGAATGAAGGCGGGACAAACGGAGTGAGCGTCTCCAGGGATTGGTCAGGAGCCACTGGGACGTCTCTTAGGATGAGAGTGGCTGGAGTCCGTCTGAACTGAGACCCGCCTCCCATCCCATCCACCCCCACCCCCTCCTCCACCAGGGTGCAAGAGAGAACCACATCCGCAACCCCGTCACCTGAGGAACAGAGGGAATATAAAACTTGAAAACGTTGACTCATCTAGAATTAATGAATGACAAGTTATTACTCGAGAAGTGGGGGATAACATTTAACTTTTTTAACATAATTAGGTAAATGAATAACAGAAGACTACTAATGAACAAAAAGCAAGACTTTATTTGATGGAGCCACTATTTCCTAATGATGTCCTTACATTACCTGGGACAGATTACCTGACAGAGTTCTGAGATATTTCCTAAAATTATTTTTAGTTGTGTTGATTTTAAAAGCAGTTGTTGATTTCCAGATTAATTAAATTTGACAAACTCTATATAAAGACAAGTCATTGAATTCAACTCCTATGTATTGCTAACATCTCTTTCTTCTCACACATCTGATGACATTTACTTTTTCATATTTGTGCATGTTAAAATGATCCATTATGCACGAAATTATTCTAGGTCATACATTAGCAGTTCATTTGATACAATTAATTGTAAGTGTAGGAAGTTAACACTATCTCCATTTTCCATTTAATTAGTGCCAATTACATTAAGGTTAAATTAATATTTCTTTACAAGATTCATAACTGAAGGTACATTTAGTGTCCATTCAGTGCTGCGTCAATATGCCATCATGAGTTATCTTACCAGAAACGCACGTCAGGAAGTATCCAAACAAAATGACTTGAATCATCATTAGGGAGTCCTCCGGTGTCCGTGTTTTTAGGAACTGAGTGGTTTTTGTAGGAATAAAGAGTGTTTTTAGATGATTAACTGTTAGTATGTTACTAAAAGATCAAGTGAAACAACCTCTATCAAACACAAAAAAAACAAAGTACCTTCACTTTTGATTTTAAAAACTAAAAACAGCTAATTGCATCGGTACAATCCGGGTATTTTACAGCCTCTCCTTCATCCCATGCTTGATGTAAAATAGCGTTTCAGAAATTGATCTAATATAGTAGTAAACTATTGAGCTATAGTCAATGAGCCGATTCGCTATCCGGAGCATGCGCAGTAAGCAGAAGCAGAGGAGAGAAAGTGAAAGTGAGCAGAGAGCATCCTCCAATGAGAGAAGAGCAAGAAGCGGGTCAGGGGTTACTATAGAAACAAGCACTCGTTAGGGTGAACTGTTTGGTATTTTAAGCAAACAACTTCACAGACATGTTTTGTATGGCCCTACAATATATGTTTCCAATATAGCATAATAGGTCCCCTTTAAGTAAGCTTTCTTAACGCTAATGTTATATATTAGTCAGATTGCTCTGAAGATGGGCGGTGACATTCTATTAATTTTCACGTTCAGTCAGTTGATTTTTGCCGGCCGTCTTTCCTGCAACGGCAGTTTTTCTGTATTTCCTTATCCAGTAATATGACTTGATCGCTTTCAACTCCGCACACTGAGCTCTGATTGGTCAGCAGGCGGTGCTTTCACTGACTTGATCTCCTGGAACATAAGTTACCATGGAGATCTAGCCCAGTAAGAAGAGAACCAGCGCCGTAGGACCGGAAACCCAGAGTTTACCCTGAAGTTAGCTTGCTAAGCGAAAATCCGGCTTCGTAATACAGGCCTCAGGTGCTGTGGACTCTCTGTTCATAAATCTACATTTGTTTCATTGTAAAGTGAACCCTGAACTTACCTGTTTGTGCAAAAAGATATTACTTAAAAAACAAACTGAAAACTATTCCTAGCACCACTAAACAAACACTCCTGGTTTAATCCTGAGGTATTTATGTTATGTAAGGCATTGCACTCACCTGCTTTGTGGAGGAATTAAAGTTTAAATGTTTAGTGCTTATCAAGGAGGTGCAGTTTGTTAACCAAGGAATGTGTTGTGTTACACACTGACTGTAGAGTACACCAGTAGTTATACACATACCACTTCAATCTCATTAGTATGCATAGAAAGTGACAGGTCACACCTCTAAGCCCCGCCCCCTTCAACCGGAAGTCCCGCCCCCTTCCGCCGGAAGTCCCGCCTACATAAGCCCCGCCCACTTCCATCGGAAGTCCCGCCATTCCATAAGCCCCGCCCCTTCCGCCGGAAGTCCCGCCCCCACTTCCGGTTTTTCAAAATAAAATAAAAAATATTTTAAAAATGATTAAAATAAAAATGCTGCCCCTACCGGTCGCCCCCACTTCCGGTTTTTCAAAATAAAATTAAAAAATATTTTTAAAATGATAAAAATAAAAATGCTGCCCCTACCGGTCGCCCCCGCTTCCGGTTTTCAAAATAAAATAACATGACATTTAACAACCATGAGAAAAATAAAATGCTGCCCCTGCCGGTTTTCAAAATAAAATTTGAAAATAATTTGAAAATGATAAAAATAAAAAATGCTGCCCCTACCGGTCGCCCCCGCTTCCGGCAAAATAACATGAAATGTAACAACCAGGAGAAAATAAAATGCTGCCCCCTACGGTTTTACAAAATAATAATTTTATAATGAATCACATATGCATAGGATCAATGTCCCTGCCACCTAGTCACTTCCTGTGCGCCTGTATACAGCAGTATTGACTGCAACTTACAAATACTTGCAAATAACATGAAATATACAACCATATATTTTAAAAGTAATGTCTCAGCTCTAAAGAGCAAGGTCCCGCCACCTAACCACTTCCTGTGCCCCCTGTATACAGCAGTATTGACTGTAACTTACAAATACTTGCAAATAACAAGAAATATACAACCATATATTTTTAAAAGTACTGTCAATCTCACTAACTCTCTCTCTCTGCTATTCTCTGCCGTGAAAAGTTTGGTGAACAGTCAAGACAGGTGTGGGGACCATAAAACCCCCGACATCCTCTGCAGGCAAATGGTGGGAACACACACACACACCCACACACACACACACACACACACACACACACACACACACACACACACACACACACACACACACACACACACACACACACACACACACACACACACACACACACACACACACACATACACACATCCCCCACCACTCACCCCTCATCCGTTAGGGTTAGATAAATAAGAGCCATTCGTCTTTCTCACTCTTCAATATTTTCTCAAGTCGAGAGAAATGGCCAAGAGACGTCTTGATATGGGTGTAATCTGCGAGGACACCGCCACCTAGTCACTTCCTGTGCGCCTGTATACAGCAGTATTGACTGCAACTTACAAATACTTGCAAATAACATGAAATATACAACCATATATTTTAAAAGTAATGTCTCAGCTCTAAAGAGCAAGGTCCCGCCACCTAACCACTTCCTGTGCCCCTGTATACAGCAGTATTGACTGTAACTTACAAATACTTGCAAATAACAAGGAGAAAATAAAATGCTGCCCCCTACGGTTTTACAAAATAATAATTTTATAATGAATCACATATGCATAGGATCAATGTCCCTGCCACCTAGTCACTTCCTGTGAGCCTGTATACAGCAGTATTGACTGCAACTTACAAATACTTGCAAATAACATGAAATATACAGCCATATATTTTAAAAGTAATGTCTCAGCTCTAAAGAGCAAGGTCCCGCCACCTAACCACTTCCTGTGCCCCTGTATACAGCAGTATTGACTGTAACTTACAAATACTTGCAAATAACAAGAAATATACAACCATATATTTTTAAAAGTACTGTCAATCTCACTAACTCTCTCTCTCTCTGCTATTCTCTGCCGTGAAAAGTTTGGTGAAACAGTCTGAAGACAAGCTAGGACACGTCATAAAACCCCCCGACATCCTCTGCAGGCAAATGGTAGGGCGATGGGGAGGGGGGACACACACACACACACACACATTTAAATTCAGAGGATGAAAAAGCAGAAAACATAACTTGTTTTGTAAAACGGTCAGCACGTCAGTTTCAAGAAAGACGTTTGCATACATAAAAAAGTGTATCTTACAGTTCCTTTTGTGAGAGAATTACACACAAATCTGCAGAGTGTCACTAAAAAGTTGTAACACAGGGACTGACATTCTGTATGGGGTTTCACACGGACACAAAGTCTACTTCATTATCTACTTTGTCAGCTTTTATACACAAAAGTGTATCTTTCAGTAACTTTCTCAGAGAATTTAAGCATAAATCTGTCAAAGATTCTTAACGAAATCTACTTCATTATCTACTTTTCAGCTTTTATACACAAAAGTGTATCCTTCAGTAACTTTCTCAGAGAATTTAAGCACGTCAGTTTCAAGAAAGACGACAATAATTAGTAGTTAGACATTTTTGGAGAAATGTTCTCTGTCGTTCTTAATGCAAAAACAAATCATCTCTACTCCCTTTGGGTGAAGTCCAGGAATGTTCTCGGGGGGAGTGGACACTTGCTGTTACATGGCATAAAGCTTCTGCAGTGTGCCAATAAATGTATAGTTTCCCTAAAGCTCCATACATTTACACATATTGACTAATGACTCAGCACATGAGGGGTAAATACAAAACAAATCTAAATATCACCAATTATTCCAGAATGTGACTAGAATAGAGTCTAGAGAATGGACCCAGGCTTTGTCTTCAGCCATCAACTAAATAGGGGCGTGCTTTTTTTTTTTGAATCGCCAGTATGTTACTCACCATTGAAGACAGTGTTGAGGGGGCAAGCAAAGTGTACTCAGCGGCAGATTGCATGGAAGCAGAAAGGCCTGGCTCAGACACCATGTCTCCAAAGGTTGACGGGGAACTTCCAACCAGTTCCATCACCTGTTTAGCTTGAGGGAATTTAAACACCATTAAAAATATGGATTACAGAAAAACAATATACGTAGTAAATCGGGTAATCATTAATAAGGGGAAAATGTTGCAAGTCTAACCTGAGTCTGGCATGAGCACTTGATCAATAAGGTGGATGACAATGTCCTTCTTGAGCACCATCTTGATGCCATTGACTGTTAAACTCTCGCGCCATCACAGCCTTGAAATCAAAGTAACGCTTCTAAAAACATATATTTTAGAAAAGTAATGTTAGTCATGTCAAGTTATCAAGACTGCTGTGTTTCATCGAAACAGTGTACAGAGCAGAAAGGGGAACATTTGTCGCCACATTAACATACCGACTCCTCTATCAGTTTTTGCATACATAAAAAGTGTATCTTACAGTTCCTTTTGTGAGAGAATTACACACAAATCTGCAGAGTGTCACTAAAAAGTTTTACACAGGACTGACATTCTGTATGAGGGTTTCACACCTGAGCTGCTGGGGGGGAGGGCGTTGAAAAGGGGGTGAGTATGTTTGGCTCTCTGGTGTGTTAAGAGTCACAGTCTTAAAGAAAAATCTGGTCAGAAAAAGTACTTAACTTTCTACCAGTTGTAAATTGTCTTACATATAAAAAAAGTAAGAGACTTACTGTTTCCTTTGTGAGAGAATTACACATAAATCTGCAGAGTGTCTGTAAAAAAGTCTCAAAATCACAAACTGCAGACGCCTCAAGGAGAGACTTGAAAAGATCCATGCCGAGTGGGGGGAGAAGAAGAAGACTAATACCAGCAGTTGACTGAAGCCAGGGACTTTTTTCTTTAAAGTAAAATAAAAATGGGAAACTACTATGCAAAACGCTCTGTATATATTGATCAGAATGTAGTCAATACCCTTTTAATAAGTGTGGTGATGAGGACGATTGAAAACAGAACGAGTAATGACCCCTGTGTAAACAGAATGGCTGAAGTTTGTAAACTAGAAGACATTTTGGCTATCGTGCGTTCTGGCAGTACTATCCCCGGTCATTGGGAAACGATTGTAAATGAAACATTTAAAGTGGTCCTGGAATCTTCATTTTCCGAAACATTCTGTAACATTATCTCAGAAATGAAACAAACATCAAAAGTGTATCATGTGCTCTCAGTGTATGCTCTGTTTGTAGATGTAATGCATCTATGTGCAGAAAGCAGCATACACATGAATATTCTGACTGAAGTGAAAAAACTCCATCACGATATCTCCAGTAATATGGGGAACTCTAAGCTGGAGACGGTCCTGCGGATGTTGCAATCAGTATAACTATTTGATTTTGGGTGTGAAAAATAAAAAAGTGTTTTTTTA